TTTTAAATTGAGGCTCCTCTCGTTGTAATTCTGTTTCCCTTTTTCTTGATGTAACCTCAAAAACGAATAGATTATGGGTAATTGATATGCTGAACATGTTGACATCACCAACCGGATGAAAAACTCGCTAAAGCTTACAACATTAAAAAAGCATAACGGAATTTTGTTTCTAGAGCAGAGCAATATGATGTTTATACGATTTACTTTCTAGGAGTTTAAGCAGATTGTTTTCTATTTTAATTAGTTAATCCACAGAAAAGAAAAGGAAAGAAAAATATGATTTTCGCTATATGTAGGGATTTACTTTCCAGTGGTGATTTTGATGAAGAGAAATAACAACTAAGATTTTTTTTCAGAAGAAGAATATATATCACCAAGAAAAAAACAGATCTGTTCAACGTTTTGATGGACATCTCATACCATCACCTTTCAAGAAAACTGGAATATCAGTACGACTGGCATCATAACGTTGCCACGATTTCATTAAACGTTCATCCGTTTTAACTTTATTTTTTCGACGTTTTGGAGTTGCTGCTCCCATATCATCTCGCGATCTTGAAATTGATGCTAATGATTGTTCTTTTTGTAATAAATTAATAACAGCGTAAATGTTTAGGTGTGCAGAATTCACGTGCTTTTTCATTCGAGAATGACGACCTTATAAATCGACTACATGGTTCATATGTATTATGATAATAATCAAGAAATGTTTGAATATTTGGATTTGTTCGGATTTACCTTGAGGTAACGTGAAAACGAATGGTGTGGATATTCCATCATAATATGAATACATTTGATAAAAAATAGATAGATATGTATAAAATGTAACATCATTATATCAATTTTCTTGTTGTAATAAATAAACAATATTATTATATGACGAAAAAACGAGTACCACCAAGTAATCCATCGTATAACAAAAATAATTCACTTTTTGGTGGCTTGTAATAAATGCCTGGTAATGGCAATGGAGTTGTTCAATCGATCGAGGAAGTGATGGACGAGTTTTACGATGTTGCTTGCTTCGGGAGCATAAATCATCATTTTTTATTTATTTTACAGAAAGTTAGTGAAAAATACGAAACAATAGAATTATATATCTGGTCAATTCCAGAAGTCTCCAACAAACTCTGCGAAATGTTGTACCCATCAAAATATTCAAGCACCAAATATCATTAAGACGAAATAGAAATTTGGATCTAGTTACAACTATTGATAAATCTTATTTTATGAAGAAAATAATAAAAAATGACCGTCCTATTTTGCTTATAGTGTCAGTTCTCATAGTTTCTACTCTCTTTCGTATACAATGGTCATAAAGTTTCTTTCGAGATGCTCAGAGTATGAATTTGAACCTTAATATAAATTCTGATTGACTGACACTTCCGCGCACATTATTTCCGCTCATGACACTTACGCGCTGACACTAATTGTGAAATTAAATCGATAAGAATGAAAATCCAAACTCAACATCCAAGCTCCATTCACATATTAAATGTAGATTGTAGTCAAAATACAAAAGAACACAAATCATAGTTAGCATTGTGCAGTAAACAATAAACTAGTTATTCAAAAGTAAAAGAGATTTAGCCATTTTAAAATAATATGCACGAGAAACAACATTAAGGCCTATTCTATTATATTTCGGAATCGATCGTTTACTTTGTCGACTTTTTTTTTCTAGTTTGTGTTTATGTATCAGCAAGCACTTGAATCGAAGTTACCGCTGGATTTTGCCTGCACTAATTGATTAGATGATCTGGAAACAGGACATATACTTTTTATTCACATTGATCACTCTAACTAATCCGATAATCCCACAATATAATACGAAACGATCGATTCAGAGCATAACAAAGTAGGCTTTCATGTTGTTTCTCGTGCATATTATTTAAAATAGCTAGATCTGTCTTTAACTTTTGAAGAACTAGTTTATTATTTACTGCACAATGCTAACTATTATTTGTCTTCTTTTATATTTTGACTATAATCTACATTTAATATGTGAATAATTATCTATCTGTTAATTGTTTTGATGAGCCTAAAAGGTCAAAAAACTCGCATTTCTCATCGATACGATTAAAATTGTCGGAAAAGCGTGTAACTGTGCAAAGTCTATTTTTATCAAAAACATTCACATTCGACAATACAAAAACATTATCTCAGCTTAGTAGTGTTTTTGCTATTTAACTTATTTTATTTATTTTTTAATTTATTTTATTAATTTTATTTAAGTTTCTACAGTTTTTAAGAAATGTCACATCAGCGAGATGGATAAATTGAATATATGTCACGTTGCGTAAAACATTTGTTATAGAAAGTGTAATGCTCCAATTCCAGATTATTTTCGCTAGAAAAACAGAAATACTGAGGCGCTGTTGTGATCCATATAATGTGGGCTAGAGACTCACTCTCATCTTACCGTCTCGTCTCTCTGTACTGCACAAACACAAATGTCGATATGGAGATTTTGGTATTTTGAACTCGACTTGTTTGTACTACATAAAACATCGAATTGTTTCGGTGAGATTCTACAAGTTAACTTTTCCATAAAATTCTATTGTTAACATTTTCAAAATTAGTTGAGGAAGAGGTTACCGAAAGACCATCTCCAGGAGTACGTGTGGTTCAAGTTTTCAAGACTTGAGTTTTTCTCTGACAAACGAAAATATTTCATATTTATGTTCCAACTTGATAAAGTTATTTGTTGATTTATGCGGAGAGAATGCTTTTTGAATGTTGTTGGAAAATCTATGCCTTTCTTGATTATACACGCGTTTCTGCCAAAATGAAAAAATACAATAAGAGAGCTAAATATGTCAAAATAATATTTTTTCTAAATATTAATATAAATGGTATTAAGTAGTGTTCGTGTGATTTTCAATACTATAGAGATACTAAATATTTCAACACATTTGTTTAATCAGGAGATTTTTGTTCCTAGAAGAATACGAGAAAAACGTATAATAGAAAAAAACGTGAGTAGAACAGAAACGACGAATAGACTTACACTAAACTAATCTAAATTTTTCTCGGCTACCAAAATTTACGTTGTGTAGATCTATATGTAATCTGATGTAATTTTTCGTTCTCTGATCATAACACAGTCAACCCACAAAACGTGAATCGATTCTTCCAAAAAGTAATATATTATAATACAATTCTTCCTACACAGAAAATTTTCCCTCTGAATTGCGACTTAATTCTGCTGAAAAACCGGGCATATTACGTCGCAATTCTTCAGGGAAAAGACTTTCTGAATAAATATATAGAAGAAAATTTTTCGTGCGGTATTTTTGATTTTCTAGCGAAATTAATCTGGAATTCCAACATTGCGCTTTCCAGAACAAATATCCTCATGCTACAGAAACAAGTCGAATGGACATTTTTTTTGTATAATAGGAAATTACAAAGAAATGTCTGAATTATCGATTATCGTTGGAGTTTCTCATAATGGGAATAGCGAGCAGTTTGAAGGAACTTCGAATTTAGATGTTGTAAGCGGAAGTTTAAGTGCATTGTTAAAACATGTATCTTCAACTTTTTCAATAGACAAATATTCTGGATGTCTTGGTTATTACTTACGTTTATCAATCAGTTCTTGATAATCCTATACACATCGAATCTGTCCTATTCTTTAGACCTTTAAATCCATAAATTTCGTATTTCTTGTCAAAAAAATCAAAAATTTCCGATCGTTCAACTATTTTGTCAAAATCATAAGTTTTATCCGAACAGTCATACGAGTTTAGTTTTTAATTGTCATGGATTTAATATACGCTGTCAGTCCCTCATAGAACGTATACATACGCCAACCAAAAAACTAGATGTACAAACTGTAAACCGATATCATTGTATTCAGGAAAAAACAGAAAAGGAAAACAAATCTGTTTGTTCTTGAATGCAATAATTAGAAACACACACACATACAAAGTAAAATTGGCTTAAAAACTTGCACAAATAAAAAAAAATTGGCACTGTTTTTTCTCATGTAAAAAATAACTCTATACAAACTGTACAATTCACATGAAGATAGAAAGTGAAAAAAACGAATTATTTTGTCATGTAACGTAGCGTATCATATAGGTAAAAACTGGAGGTAAATCAAGATCAGTACCACCAGCACCATTACTATTATTATTGGTACCATTTGTTGTAGCTAACAATTGTTGTTGTTGTTTTTTGTTATTATTATTATTGTTAAGATTGACATCACTTGCCGCTGCATAAATTGTAAATATGTACAGACCCGGTTTAGGTAGATTAAGTCCAAAGGTAACATTAAAACCATTTGGTTTTATTTGTACATAATCAGATACATTCAAACGCTGATTTAAATTAACTAGTGACGATGACGGTTTTGATCTTAATAAATCATTCAATGTTTGATGATACAATAAATCAAATGAAAAATCAATCATCCGGCGTACTTGAAACTGAATATCGATATGATTCGAATTCATATCAATTACAGCATTAACATGACTCACGGCACTCATACCAAGCATTTGTAATAATGATTGATTACCACCAATTTTTGGCATGGGTAATGTCTGATATTGTTGTTCTTGATGAATATCAACATCATTTGATCCAATATTATTTCGTTGAGATTCTAAAAGAAGACGATAGTTCTGACTATGTATTGTGAAAACGATGATTATTGTCTTACTTGGTGATAGATTTTGTTCTTGTTTTGTTTGTATGGATGCCGTAGTTGAACCTGTTGTTATTCTTGGTGAAACTATTCTATATTCATTGCTATTATTATTATTATTATTATTATTATTATTCGTACTATTATGATTGTTCATGATTAATTGATGGTCTTCATATTGTGGTAAAAGCCCATTGCCGATTTTAGATGTAATTAATTGTTTATTATTCGATATTGCTTGCTGTTCAGATACTGCTGAGGATGCTGATGCTGGTGTTGCTATTTTTGAATAATTAATTATATATTTACAACAATGAGACATTGTACGTTTCTCTGTTTGATAATCAGGATCTCTTGCATAGACATCAAGACCATATTGTCCTTCAATCGGTAAATGAATGATAAATGTAATAATGCACTCATTTTCCTCATACTCATATTTAACGTATTTATCTAATGGATGACTGTCGTTGATATTAACATATTGATTTGAATTTAATTTTCCATGAAATTTTAATTGTTTTGGACATTTAAATTTGATATAGACAGGAATTTGTTTTGTTTCGAATATGGCATTAAAATGAGTCAAAGGTAAAATATTAAAATGTCGAATTGCTTTCATTGGACCCCATTCACCGGACGCACACGCAGGTAACGGATGCTATAAAAGATAGAAGATATTTTTATAAAAAGAAAATAATGACAAAACAAATCTACGTTTACCATTCGTTGGTATAATTGTTTACATAATATGCGATATTTACATACACATTTCAATTTAAAACTTTGTCCAAACGGATTTGGGTCAGGCTCCTAAAAGAAATATTCATTAAATACTTTTATTTAAAAAAATACAATCATTTTTCTTACCGCTAATGATGCAAAAATTTCAATAAAATAATCTCCTTCTTGTGGTACATGAATATTAAATGATACAAGATCATCTTGTACTGTATGTAGTACATAACGTTCGAGTTTAATTCCTTGAAAATCTGTGCTATCTTCTTGATTTGCACTAGCATTTACTGTTGTAACCTTTTGTTGTTGCTGTTGTTGTTGTTGTTCTTGTTGTTGTTGAGGTGGTGATACCAACGAACTTGAATTTGGAAAACGTAAATGAAAATGAAATGCTAAACGTTGTTTTAATGAGTCAGGCATTCGTAATTTGATATCACATGAACCACGATTGTCTGTTTGAATAATAGCATTATACTGATTGACAAATGCCAAATGATAATGAAAGAAAAGTGATCGAACAAATGGTAATTGTTCAAAATCATTTAAAGCTATTTGATTTTCAAGTAATTGCCATTCTAATAAAAAGAAAGATGAGACGATTGCCTATTGATAAATAAAAGAATAGAATCTACCTGGTTTATATGGAAAAAATTCGAGAATAAAGTCATCAGGATCTGGTAAAAAATAATGTTCATCATATTGATATTTTATTTTTTCCCGTGTAGGTTTAGGTGGTGCTAAATCAGCTGGTTTCTTGTCTTTACTCATCACTAGATGTCGTGCACCCCAATTACATTGTACAAAACGCCATTCATCATCAATAACAACAGCATTCCATGTATTTGTAAATTTTCCTTCTAAAATTTTCATTCCCGGTTCATAACCAACACTTTTTGAATGACCCTTAATATCGACGCAGTGTAATCCGGCATAACTAAAATGGATTCATCCATGAAGAATGTCCAAAGATAAAAATAATTTTTCTACAGTATCTCACGTGTATAACGTAGTTTGCATTTACTCTAGACGTTCTTCATGGATAATCTCAAATGCGTGAGAAAATTGTTATTCATGCAAAAATTACAGAGTAACATTTTAAATATTGACCTGCAAAGTCTCATAAATAATGTATGATATGTTTCTGTTCCATATTTGATCCCACGCAATAGTCCCATCGGTGTATCAGTCGCTAAATTCGATTGAAAATCTATTGCATTTAAATCTTTTACTGTGATCCATCGAAATATTGCCCTAGAGAAAAAATGATGGTATTTNAAATGCGTGAGAAAATTGTTATTCATGCAAAAATTACAGAGTAACATTTTAAATATTGACCTGCAAAGTCTCATAAATAATGTATGATATGTTTCTGTTCCATATTTGATCCCACGCAATAGTCCCATCGGTGTATCAGTCGCTAAATTCGATTGAAAATCTATTGCATTTAAATCTTTTACTGTGATCCATCGAAATATTGCCCTAGAGAAAAAATGATGGTATTTCAACTAATGGAATTTTTTCAGAATTGAAAAGCAAACTTTTCTCAATGAACAAAGAACATAGCAAATTAAAAAAAATCATATACAAATATAGATGCATAGTTTTTTTTTTCAAAAGCACAATCGAACGTATGTTGTACTAAAATAGGTAAAGAAAAGCAAAGTAGCGGAAATATATTTGATTGCTTTAGAAAATTAATGCAAAAAACCATACAACATCATGCTTTTTAAAAATATCAGCTTTTCATAAGTTCTACAATTTTACTTACATCTTTGATCATGTAACATTTACTCTCATAAGGCAGTATGAGACTTTGAAAGTAAAAAATACAAAGTTTATTTTTTTTTAAACACAAATGAAGTATCGTATGCTATACACAAAAAATAGTCATTAAGAAACAATTATAGGGTAAACTAGCTGTTTTCTCATGAATCTATTAAATCAAGTTTATTCCATTTTAAAAAATGAATATTTTAATGTTCATACAAATGTTTGACTACTTGAGATTAAATTTATTATTTACCTTGCTTTTTCTAAATCGATTAGTAAACCGTACGTTAACTGATCAACTAATTCTGTGTACGATGTTTGTTCACTTTCAGCAACCTAAAAATTAGTAAAATTAATTAATTAATCAAATTATTAAATTATGAAAAACAAATAACTACGAACAGCAATTGCTTGTTGATCAACATGTTCGAATATTGATGGATCTTCATATAAATCACGTTTTCGTCGTCGAGGTGGTTGTGGAGGTGGAGGTTGACGTGAATGAAGCATTGAAAACGTTGTAGCAATCTCATCATTAACTGCATTTTCACCCTGAAAATCGAAAATAATTTTTAGTATACCATCTAATAAAACAAGAGATGGTAAGTGAGGAAGTCATACCAATACTTCCGCTTCTTTAACTTGGATGAGATTGATCATTTCTTTACTAAATTTCGACACGAGTGAATGTGTTTGCTCTTGTTCTTTCTCACTCAATTGTTTTCGTACAACTTCACGTTTTTTTTCACGTTTTAATGTCATGTGTTTTTCCAAATCTTCTTTTTCTTTTTTATATCTTAACGTTAATTCCTATTTATAAACAATAAGAACAAAATTTTGAACATAAAAACAGTGTGATAGCTACGCATACTCGTTCAATATTTTTATCTTTTTTTCGACGTAAATCATCTTCATATTGTGATGTTAACATTTTAAGTTTCTTTTCCCATTCTTCAATAACTTCTTTTTCTATTTTTTTCTCTTGATTTTCACGTTCTATACGAAAAATCTGAAAATAAAATAAATATCCTATTATATAACTATCTAACACTGATTTACACGATTTTATGATCAGACAAGAATCGTGCCGTTCATCGACTGATTACAAATGCACTGTTTTGGGATCTTGAAGTGAAGATTGCAATTCTTGTAATTTCAGTCTGTGAACAACTTACAGCAAACAATCGATCTTCTTCTTCACGTTGCTTTTCTTCTAATGTTTTTTGTGCTCTTCTCACTTCTTCTCTTGCATGGATGATATCCTAAAAGAGAAAGGTAACAGATAAACGGTATATTAAAACCAAATTAGAATCTTACTGGAGGAAGAGCTGGAAATTTATGACTGTATGAAATTTTTTCTCGTCCTTGTTGTAATAATAGTTGGGCTTTCATTGCATGCGCTATACTTATGGCTGACGAATCAAGATGAGTACCCTAAATAGATAAAAGTTTCATTTTTATCATAATGCTGTTTACGTGAGAAAACGTTGGTGGAAAAATCAATGAACTTACTTTGAGTCTATCATCTAACTTTTGCATTACGTCTAATTTTGGTGCTTTCATCACCGATTGTATTTGCATATTTTCTGCTCCAAACGATCCTTTACCCGATTTTGGTACATGTGATTGACAATAGATTTCTTTATCATTAAAATCAATTGAATTTGTAAAATATGTTTTTAAATCTAATTGTCGTTCACATTTTAAACATTTGAAACATAATTTATGATAGATGTAACCTTTCAATGGTCCTATACGTTCTGTTACATAGACCAACTGTTGACATCGTCTACAACGTTCACGAGGAGATAACAATGGATTTGATGAATTATCATTGAATGTTTGTAATGCGGCTAAGTTAAACGAAAGTGCTGGAGAACCAGCTCCGTTTGCAGTACCGGTTAAAGTTTGATCAATAGTCGTCGTCGTCATCATCATACGATCATTTGTAGTCGATGATAAAATATCGGATGAGAATGAATGATTATTTACTGCGGCACCAGACGACATAATAACATTAATCAATCATTGTGTATACTTGACATCTGAAACAAAGTAATAAAGAGTTATTTGCAATCTGACAGCTGTAATTAAATTGGATACCAACTTGTGGAAGACCATCGCTTACTTTGCGTAACATGTCTAAATATGGATATGAAAAAGTAATTACATATTTATGATGCCTCTCCTCAGATGTTTGTTCATATTCAAAAATAAACATCAGTATTAATATTACTGACTACTTAAATTTATCTTTCGAAACATCTGAAATTACTTTCTATTTAGTTTTCTTGTTTTCTACTTTCTTATATTAGCTATTTATAAATAAATACTAAGCCGTACCATCTGATATAGTTAATAAGAAACGTTCGTGAAAATTATGAAAGCAGCGAAAAGTCATGACGAGTAAGGAGCAATCGCTGCAATCTCTCAGCCTAAATGGTAACCATTAAAACAAAACTTGATAAATGATTTCAAACCTTCTAAAATATCAATCTGTGTATTTGAGACAAGAGGAAAAGAATTTTTTTTTGAAAGACATATTTTTCCTCTATTTTTCCATATTTACATTGTATTTTATCGTTTTTTCATGTTGTGCTAGATTAATCTTTCAATGTGAACAATGTATTCTCTCTGTCTCTCTCTTTCTCCCTCTCTCTCACACACACTCTCTGTCATTTGGATGCATACACATATATTGTTGTCGAATAGTAAAGTATTGGCGGTGAGCGTAACAAGTACATATGTTGTCTATTGAATGTAGAAGAAAATATAACGAAAAGTTATGTTTAAATCACTAATCGGCTTGTTTTATTAATGTTAGATTGTTTTCTATGTATACCACAATATTGTCGATCAAATATTACAAGTAATACAAACAACTACGTACAATTCACTTTTTCTTTTCTTTTCACTTTCATGTGCAATCTCACCCACTATCGTCTTCTAATTGAACACAATAATCAATAGAAGGTTGAGTAGAGAGCCGCTGTTGACGTTTCAGCTGTAAAAACTCAATAGAAAAACGCACTCAAACTTTCACAAACATGACACATTTTTTATTCCTTGTTGATAACCATAGTCAACAAACGACAATAATATTTTAACAACGACCATAAAATATTCAATCAACTTTAAAAGGTTGGAAAGATGTATATATAAAACGAATAATTTATTGCTGTACTCGAATCAAATGTGAAAGATTAAATAATTTGGGTAGTACACACAAAATTTCTATAAGTGAATAACAAACAGTTTCTAAAAGTTCAGTTGCATCATTGGTCGATTGGGACAAAACACATAGAAAAATAGTCGACGTTTACGCAGAAATTAACATGTTTCCGATTACCGAACATCACGAGAATCGCGCAGGATGTTTTATACATTTTCTCGCGAAACACCTAATGTTTTTGAAATTTTCATAAATTTCAATTAAGTTTGTGCTTGCCGGAAGCAGAAACTTAAAATTCGACTTCAAGTCGAATCTTTAGTAGTACGGTGATTTCTTCTGACACTTCAATGATCACTCACTCAGAGATTTCCTACCTCTTTTGAAAAGAATATGATTTTTATGTTATAATTCTTCATACGAAACAAAACGGTGACTAAATTCCCGATATCGGAAAATATTCTCCTGAAACATGGTTGATATATGATCAGATGAAAAATATGTGCTTATTTCATGTACTTTTCGTTAGCAACGCAAATTCAGTGGATAAAAGTTTCTAATCGAAACAACAACAAAGTCAGATTTTATTTCTCGTTTTCATTCTTTTAGCGCAAGCTACGATTACCGAGATTTCCACACTAATATTCTATAGAGAGCGCCTAATAGCCATAAATAATAAGGTAATCGTATCAGTAATTTACACTAAAAAACGTTTCGTACCTTTTACTTCATGATAACGATATCGAAGCTTTTTAATCGATTTAATTTCTCTAGCTTGATAAAGAAAATTTCAACAAACCTTTAAAAGTTCAATAAACCTTTTCATTTATAAAGAAAACATTCTCTTACAATTTAACATTTAAGTCAGATATTTTGAGAGAAAAACAATTCAGTGTAAACATTTAACAAGCAACAAATTGACATAATTAAGATATCGAAGAATAATTGTTTTCTATGTAAATTTATACGGTGTGTGTATGTGTATGTGTATGCATGGATGTATACATATATATATACACAGATAGATGTAAGAAGATTAAAGAAAGAAACCAGATCTATCACTAAACAATTTGCACAAATAAATGCACGAGAGAAAGAACCCTTGAGTTGAATGAAAAAGAAAATGTAATGAAATAGAACCAGTTAGAGGCACACCCAAGTGAAGGACAATTTACAAGAAACCTAAGAAGCTAATGATATGATCAAAACAGTTCAAAGTAGGATTGTCAACTCTGAAGTTTCTAATAGATTACAAAATATCTCGAAAGAAGAACAGTTGCTACGAGCCTGACAAGTGATGCTAAGAGAATGTTAACGACAAACTGATAGTATAGAGAGTAAAGCTTTTATGTACGTTGTTTTCAAGTAAAATCTGCTTACATTCAGATCAGACTCTAGTTCCTTGATACTATAACCATATTATCAACGATTTATTTACTCTGACTTCAGAAACTGCTGAAACTTATCTGTAAAGTCTGAGCCTTCTCTCTCTGCTTCGTAGTATTATAGCGCGAGAGACACAATTTATTCACAAAATCACATAAATTACGTACACTGCGGTAAAACACTGTAGATAATAGTCGGTGAACTAAAGACTAGTCAGAGGCGGTAAGAGACAAGAAAATTTTTAAAGGAGTTTATTATCCACTCGACATGCAGGTGCCAGGTATGCACTAGTTATTTTTGACTTTTTTCTGAGACATCCAGAAAAAATTTATTATAACATGATTATTAAGAATCGTTCCGAATTATGAGACGTCTCATTTTGTATAGATTTGTTTCATCTATCCATCGAACAAAAAATTAAAACGTAAAAGAGAGAACCGTGTTATAAAAGTTTTCCTAGATGCTCTAATACCAGTTGTGTAACTAGTACATCCCTAACAGGAGCCAAGGTAATCTTGAAAACGAACCGATCTGCTGAAAGAAGTTGGAAAGTCGAGTTCAAAAGCAAAATTTGAAGGAAACAGTAAATTATTTGATTGTCAAGAGACAATAGTTAGTAATTTACCATTACAATTATCCTTGAATATTATAACTTGAAGCAAAAGTATTCAAAATATAAAAACAACAAAAATTGCTTGTTATTAATAAAAACAAAGAATTGTTTGTTTAAACACAAGAAAAGTGAAGATTGTTTTAATAAAGAGGTTTCTTCTATTTTTTTTTGGCATCATGAAACAAGTTTCACTTTTTTCATTTATGAATGGTTGTCAAACCATAAACTTGATGCATTTATTCGAATGTAAAACGTTTTTTTTTCATTCATGTGTGATGATTTTTTTTCATCACACATAGACAAACAAAGAACGAAAGATCAAAAAAAATAATAAAATGAACAAAAAATTTGTTTTGTCTGTTAATTCAAATTGTTTGTCGGTGATAGATTTCTTAAATACACATGCAAAATTTATTTTAAAAAAGGGAGATTGAAATATCTACTCAAATGTTCAATTTCAAAAAGGTGAACGGACATATAAAGGCAAAATAGCAAAATCCTCAAAAATATTCTACAGATGACTTGACTTATAAAGCGAATGATGTGCATAAATTTCTTGTTTATTACTTAACAGAATAAACTGATCAAATCACTTCTATTCAATCATTATTATTTTTTGCCTTTTTCTTGTCAATTATTGTTCAAATATTTTGAAATAGACTCTCCCTCATATAGTTTAACACTCACCAGCAAATAAATGCAAGACCGAAAAAAATCATTAATGAATAGAAAAAAGTAATAAAAATTTCTTGCATACAACTAAGGATATATAGTTTTTCGAAGGAGTAGTTTATCCATTGCACAGTTTAATACCTTCATCTCTCGAAACTCATTTCGAATGATATCCAGACACACATTAAATTCTATTTGATTTTGTATAACATACACCATGATGACATTATTATTAATTATGCTAATTTTTAATTACTCTATAGGTAAGTCTTGACCGATTTCATATCTACTTTCAATAAGATTTTAGCGGGCAACACAATGATAAAATAAACGATCAAAACACAAATTTTTATGTATTGGAATTATATACAATAATGATGAAAGTAGAGAAGAGAAAGGCATATTTTAAACTGAACAGGCGAATATTAGAAAAACATACACAATACAAAATCCTAAAAAATGGTCATTGAAGACAAAGAAAAAAAAAGAATAGCGTAAAAGCAATACTGACAACAATAATAATTGTATGTTTTTTGCTAATATAAAAAGAGATAGTTGTTCATAAAGAAAATAATTTGAATAGAAAAAAATTATTTCAATTTTATTCAGACAAAGAATTAATAAATTGTAGTCGAAAGTAATTAATGAAAAATATGATACATCTGAAGAGTTTTCCAAAAGAAACCTTTAGACTAATACTAATATTCGATTCGTATCTGAAGATCTTGTTATCCCATAGAAGATTTATTGTCCACATTTTTGTATGTATTTTGAGCAGATCTGCGATAAAATCGGCACAAGAAAGAGACAAATACAAATGAATCTCTAAAGAATTTATATAGTTTCTTCTAGCTCATACACATCGAACCATTGAGTAAAATTGTTCAACTATGAAAAAGAGCGTAAAACACTTTTACTAGTGAAGTTTTCGACTAATATTGAAGGAGAAATCTAATACTATCCTCTGATCGCTGAAAATTTTCGAAAAACGTTCATACATGATAGTATTCAATAACATCCTCTGAAATCTCTCTACTGGAAACTTTTGAAAGCGGTAAAAATGAGTCAAATATTCAATTCATTCCTGTTTCGAAACTATCAAGAAACATACTGAAGATTCGTATTAGAAGGTAAAATTTATCGTATGTAATAACGATGTAAAACTTGTGGAGATTTAATAGAATGAGAGAAAGAAGAAGAGCTAATTTTATACTAAACTTTTGAAAAATTATAGTCTGAAATACCTGGTGAAAGACAAGGGTCCGAGCGAGAAAATGCACGATGTATTTGATAAATCTGC